AGAAGGTTTTGAATTAATTGATTCATTCGGTTATATGAAAATTTATGAAAGTACGAATAAGAAAGTGGAAAACAGTTAACAAAATTCTAAAGAGAGATCAGCAATAATAACTATGGCTTTTTAACCATTCTTATGGGAATTGAAATAATCACATGACAACTAAACGAAAAAGTATATCATAAAAAGGACATTGCCATTTATTTACTTTATAGCTAGGCTAATTATAGAATGTACACAGCTGGAAATTACTCAATTCTTCAAGTAATAAATTTAAAAATGATTTTATGAGTAATAAAAGTGATATTTATTCCATCTCCGTGTGTGATATTCCATTGATAAAAAATGATCACGTGGTGATCATAGCTCATAGCTCATGTAACGGATTTCAAGCTCATAACTCATGTAACGGATTTCAAGCTCATAGCTCATGTAACGGATTTCAAATCTCTCACGTAATACAGGAGAAAAAGCTCATAAACTTAAGGAAAGCAAGCTTAAAGCAAAAGAACTTAACTCCGTAATTCTACAACGATTTAAGAACTTACAAAAGAGCATTGTATAAACTTTTGATAACAAGGGAAAATACTTAGATCACAACAGTAGTTGAATATGAGGAAAATACAAGAAGCATATTAAAAGCGTCTGGCAGATTTTACTTTTCAATTATTCATAAATTAAAAAATTTAGGATCAACATTTTGCATTTATCGCTTATTTTAATCATATTGATTTCATTGCCTGAAAAAAATATTTTAATTTAGGCCCAGGATTTCCATGGAAATTTTGTTATTAAAGCTGTGGAGTGAATGTTGATGGTGATTTCTTTTCGAATGGTATTACAAATGGTGCACTATTTGATATCATATAGTTGGTGGAATTTAAGATTGGGCAGTATGTCCAACTTGTAACAAATTGCTTGGAAATTACCGTAGAAATGAGTTGTTACAAATTCCCTGCAAAATTTTAGGAAAAAATTATGGAATGAACACAAGTATTCACTTCTTGCATATATGGAGTAAGTATATCGAAGTGTCCTTTACTTCTTTTCTTAAATTGTAGGACGTACGTTCTTTGTATTTCTTCTATCTGTTTGTGTTTGTATATTTGCTTTTCGTTATTACCGGATATGCCTCTCACATAACGAGCGTGATAAGGTAAGTTGACTTAAAATAAATATCCTGAAATAATTAAATTCTGGATTTAGTATTTTCTTATTATTTGGTCAAGTTATTTGGCGTTCAAAAATAAAAGGATTTGTGTTTCATCAAAAGAGATATTCAGTAAAAAATGTCGTGTTATCGATTGAGATATTTCAGTAAAAATGTCGGAAAGAATATAGCAACAACGGATGAAGCCGAATTCTGCTGTCTGATACATAGATATCAGACATAGATATAGATAGTATTCTTTTTTGATAATTTATGACAATTGCAATATTTCCAAGTTTTATTCGTGTTGAATGAATGTACTTTTGTTGTTTTGAGGTGTTGATTAGTCATCGAAAATACCTACTACAAATTTTCAATATAACCGTAGATGAAGGATCTGTAAAACCTGTCAATATCACGTCGGAGCAGAAACTTTACAGAGAAAACAGTTTAGTTCCTTGTTTGAAAATATCATTTCTAACATGATTACTTGACAGAGATGTTTTGCTAGCATCAAATGTCTTACGCTGATGACATTAAATGTATACTTATTAAATGTTGGAAGATAGTATTTGATTTTGATATAGCTCTCAGATAACGTTATATTGCAATTTCATGATCAGTATTCAAAAGTTCACATATATAGCAAAGGATGATTAATAATATAAATTATTTGATTTTGATTAATATTGATGCAGTTGATGGTATTCGTGTATAGGAGGAGAAGGAGCAGTACGTATTGCGGTGTTGGGTGTCGATTCATTCAGGAAGTCGATCGTTAAGGAATTGGCAAATGCTACCTGCTTACCAGGGCATTTTTTTGTTCCATTACTACCTTATATTTACTCATATCGTTATCACCAGAGCAAGATTAAATCAGAAAATTGAATTTGGTCGCAAGTAATATCTGTCATGTTATATTTTCAATGTTAAATGGTTTTTAAAAATATATATGTGTGTGTGCATACTACGTTGTATTTTATTACGTTGTTATGAACATTTTGGAACAGTGGAGGTTTTTTTCATGGTAGAATGTTGATTATTTTGATTACAGGATCATGAATTCGATATGTTATTATTGTTTGGATTAGGATTAGCGAAATCAATATTACTTAGTACTGAAACTAATACACCTAGTTGATTCGATCAAAAGAAATTAGACGATAGTTTAATAGTGTAAGCAATTTTGGTGCGTGATCTTGGTGTCTAACTGTTTCCACTTACGGCGTAAGTGAAAATTATCTCACTTTTTTACTAGCAGAATAATCCAATAATCATTCCATCATTTAATGCGAAGAATTCATTCTTCCAAATGACTTCTTTCGTTAAACATTTTGCTATTTTCAGTACACTGGATATTAAAACAATTAGTTGTGCCAGTCATATGCTGGACAACATGGTTTTATCGATGATTGAATACGTTAAATATAATGAAAACATTTTAATTCGATGTCTGGTTAGGTTATGAGCTCAAACAACTAGAGTTCATGCTTGTGACCTCAAGCAATCAGAGTTCACGCTTATGACCGTCCGTTACTGCTGTTCTAGCAGATGCAATTACAAAATCTTAAAAATATTGACAGAATTATCTGCTCTTCATATTCTAAATGTTGAATTTCGGAAATTCTGGAAAATTCTGAATCACAAATTTTAGATTGCAGTAAATGTTTTTATTGGTGTGAAAGATCTTGTAACAGAATATTTAGTGACACCATCTATTGATTTGGCAGATTAATTCTTACCAGTAAAGATGATCGAAGCAAAATAGTGCTAACCTACAGCTTATTCAAGAAAAGAATTCCACTTCGATAGTCAATATTGGTTTGATGAAAGCTATAGTATTTGGTAATTCCAGTATAACTGCGTACTCTTGCAATGGTTGTCTGATTTTAGTACATTAAATAGTAGTTAAGAAAAATAGTAAATAAAATTTTTTTACTGTAATTTCCATTTCCAATCGAAGATAGCAGCATAGAATCATATCTATCCTTCACTATATGTTTTAACTTAATTTAACGGCAGCGTTGAACATTCACTTAAAGTAGTAAAGAAAGAATTTGAGCAAAATTTTAAATGTTAATAAGCATTTTGATAATTTGCAAGATTTTTATTAATTAATGTTGAACAAACAAACACGTACACCATGTGTGAATGATATCATAATCATGAGCATATCAATTGATAAATTCATTCAATTAAGGAAATTCTAAGTTCCATAATATCAACTTATTGATTGAAAATTAACGAATGATTTAATTTGATTTAACGGCAGCGTTGAAAATTCGCTGAAAGTAGTAAAGGAAGAATTTGAGTAAATTTTAAATGCTAATAAGTATTTTGAAATATTTATTAGCATTTAAAATTTTTAATATATCAGTTCAAGAAAAAGATTTTAAACTATTATTTTTGCTATTGGTTTGCTTGAACATTAAATTATAATAGGTAATATTATAATTAATTATATTAAACAAACCAAGTGCTATTGAGGACTAAACCTATGAAATTTAAACTTATTGAACTATAAAATTTTTAATTCAATTAATAATAGTAATCTTTTTTTAATGACCAATTTCATGTTATCCTTTTTCAACGAAGCTCAATTTAGAAAACTGATAACAAATGCAAAAATAGAATAAATATATTAAGCATTGCCGGAATTTAGACTTAATTTGGACTTAAAGAAGGCAATTAAAATATAATAAAAAATGAGAAAATCGTTTGACCTGGCAATTATTTAAAATATTGTGAAATTAATTTTCATTAATAATTATTAAAAGATCACAGTAATTAATGGTAGGATAAAATTAGGATATATCAAAGCATTGTTATCAACAAATGATTGAACAATAGTAGTGGATGAAATGCCTACTCGTTTCAAATTTGATTTCCTTCACTTTTTTGTACAAAATTTAAAAAAAAATTGATTTTAAGTAATTTTGGCAAAATTAACAAATATGTGAGATAATGATAATAATGATCAGAGTAATCATTCTTTAAAGAGCAAAAAGAGTGATAATGATAATGATAATAATCAACAGAATAATCATTCACTTAAAAAACAAAAAGAGCGATAATGATAATGATAATAATGAACAGAATAATCATTCACTTAAGGAACAATGAGTGTGATAATGATAATAATAATAAAGAGCAGAATAATCATTCATTTAAAGAACAAAAAGAGCGATAATGATAATGATAATGATAATAATGAACTGATTAATCATTCATTTTAGAATAATTTTCTCTTTCATTTTTTTTTGCATAAACTTTTATTGTCTTTGATTAATTACTTTAAAACAAATCTAATCAGTTAATCAAAAAAAATTGAAAAATTTTAAAGAAAATCCGAAAAGGAAAAGTTTGACAAGGAAAGAAATAAATAATAAAAAGTGAAATAACAACAATACTTTTTCATTTCGTTGTAGGAAACTATCGATGAAATTATCCGATAACATATTTCCGGTCAGATAGCAAACAACACTTTCATTTTCCTTTTTTTCTGCATATTTACAAGGATGGCAACCTGATCGGATGCTCTCTTAATTTAACAATTTGTTCGACGCCATATTTGAATTTACAAGTACCTTTTGTCGTATACGATACAATCTGTAATGATTGCAATGATTGTTTCACTTTTTTCAATTTTTATTTGTTATCATTTGGCTCTTACATTTTCACTATTCTATGTTCAATTATATATTACAAGAATATTTGAGAAGATAAATTTGTAGAATATTAGAAATAATCATTATTTCGAGGCGCTATCATTATTATCACTATTATGATTATTTATTATTATTATTTTATTACTGTTAATTCATTATTGTTATTGATTTGATCATTATAAGAAATACTTCCAGCCATAGTGTGAGAAGTGTATAGAAGAATATAATAGTAAATTTTCGATTAAACAAATATCGAATTTACTGTGATCAAAATGATAAACAATTTGCTTCCAATAGGTAATGTGAAAAATAAATAAATCATTTCATTTCATTGATGAAAATTTCTTTTAGATAAAAATTCATAAACCATAAATTCTTATTGATTGTTTACATTTGCTGATTGTTTTGATAAAATTTACAATTTGAAATATTCTTTCCATCGATGTTATCAGTCACAGTAATTTACAACAATGATAATAATATATGATAATAATGGAAAAGATAAATAAGTGCTATCTTTCGTAATAGCAAAAAAACAAAAACTTTATTACCGGAAGAAAACTTTACTTTTAGCTTAAAATTAAGCTAATTAGTAAAACTTTAAACTCATTACCTTTTCAGGAATTAGCTTAGTATTAGTGATTATATTTTTATATTTTTTAATTATTAATGAAATTCATTAATTATATTTTCAATTAATAATCATTATATTTTTTGATTATATTCTTTCAATTCTTTATCCTTTATGTTTATTTTTTGCGAGTAGAATTCTTTAGAACTAGTCTTTAGGACCATGTTTTGAAATCTAAGTTGGAATCTTCCAAACTACCAGTCTAGAGCATTCAGGTAGCATTTGATAATTTCATTAATAGTGATTATCATGACTTACTACAATTATTGTTAACTATGATATCGCCTTTTATAATGTATCATACAGCATTCTATCATTTTAACAACGAAATTATCCTACTGGCAATTATTTTAGTTTTTTCACTAAACTAAAAGATATGCTTCATTTTGAAGCTTCATTTTCTGAATAGAATTGTTTACCAGAAATTGTTTGTTTATAATTTGTTGAAAACAAGGAAATAGTTGATAGTATTATCACCTAATATTAAAACATCGGGATATATTGTTAGAATCCTTTTTAATAAATAAATCTATAACATTACTTTTTCCATTATGTAAAAGAATAAAAAGTAGAATTTAAAAGATGAAAAATAAATAAACAAACATCATCTTTAACGGAGAAGCCAAGCGATGAATAATTAGCGATACCGCGGATAATATCTGCTATTTTTCCTTCAATAATTGTTACCAAACTATTATTTTCCTTCAAATTCGTCACTGTTACTATAATCCGACCCGAAATACGACTATCTACTGTAAAATTTCTGAAATATAGTTGAATTTATTACGATTAATCTATTTTTATAACGCTAATATTTCACTGGATTAGTTGAGTGACAATCTAATTTCAATACGTGATACGTGCAATATTTAGAAATGTTGATGGCCTTGTGATGTTGATGTTAACCTTCAAATCATTCTGATCAAATCATTGCGATAGTTAACGATAATATTACTGTCGTAATGAAACTTTTTTGCCTTACTTTATGTATCACAAATAAAAGATATTTATTGACCGGAAGTTTCATAATTGTTATTAATACATATGATTCGAAATCGTCAACTTTCTTATATTAGTTAGATTCATGTTATCAATATACGAATATATCATATTGTTAAATATATTATCATCAAAGTAATATTATTATGAATAATTTAACTTAAATGCTTACAACTCAGTAAGTAACAATTTTCTCTCATTCTTGACATTAATTAACGCTGCAAAACGAAGTGAGTAAGAAATTTATTCACTCATAATAATTAGTAATTAAAGTTGCAACTGTGAGAAATAAAAAAACAAATGATAATTTCACCTTATTTGATGATCTTCAAGAATGACCAATTCAGCAACAGTTTCACAAAATGCTGGTACCTTAATGGTACTATCAACACCCCAAGTTAATTCTTCTTCTACCGTATTCTCACCAATGTTTACAATGCTAATTTCATTATGAAAGCCAGCATTTGCTTCCACAATTTCACATGGTGTTTTTAATTTCAATTCCATTTCCATACCACGACATACTCCTTTCTCTAAATTATATAAACTTATTTTACCTTTTGTTTACACCTGATTTTTTCATTTTGATATTCCGTCTTATTATAATTACTCAGTTAGTTATTAATATTATTGTTATTTTCCTATTCTCTTTTTTGCTTTATTTTATTTTACTATTAAAAATCTTCTAACTTGTACTTATACTTTTTTCTGCTTTAACTTATTCCATTGTTTAAACAAATATCACTAATTATTACTAATTATATTTGATATTAATCGTATTTAATTACATTGAGCAGTTAACACACCTAATTAAACAGGTAATCATTAAAGTTTTCCGATAATTCAAATGATTTTTAATAAATGTTTTCATTACTAATAGAATTTATCAAATATAAATGAATGATATGATTTTCAATTATATTCAATTATTAGAGTTCCTAATATATACTCAAACAAACCGATCGAAATTGTTGCAGTACTACGCGTACAACGCTCTGTTTTGAAGGTATACTCTTGTTCTCGTTCGGTGTTATTTGTAAATGTTGATTTGAATAAAACCTGTTCGCCTTTTGATTGGCGAACATAACGTGTATCGATTCCTGATACCGTATACCGTGGTTCCAAATATTCGTTCAATAAATGAGACCAGTTGATGTTATACTGCAAAATTCTACTTTTATTTATCATAAAATTCCCGATAATTGCTGATATTATTCTCACATTTTCCAATTAATAAATTATTAATTTACTTATAAAATCCATTTGATAGCTAAATAATACTCACAATCTTACAATATTAGAATACAAATAAAAACTATATCAATATCATTGATATACAAATAGTCTAATCAATTTGATAGTATAATGATATAGATCGATTGATAGATGAATTGATAAATAGACGGATACATTGTTGTATAAATTTGTCCTCTAAATTTTGTCCAATAAAAAAATTATTTCAATTTTTATTTCTGATCTTTCATTGCCACCGATAAAATAAAAATTAATTGAAATACTAATTTCCATTTTAGATTGAAATACCGCTATGCGACACTTTCTAATTTCATTTTAAGTTTTCTTTTCATTCCATTTTAACCTTCCGCTTTTCTTTTCCATCTAAAACTTTCATTTTCTATTTTCGCTGAAAAATTTCTGCAGAAGAAAAAAGTGAAAAGATAATATCATTTTACAGGGACAAATGAATTGATAAACAATGAATTAAACAAGAGCAAACCGTAAACAACTGTAAACAAGTATTTTGAAAATTTAATTCATAAAAAAATTTGCTTCTGTTTTTGCTATTTATTTATTAAAAAAATAGGCATGGATATTTTCACTATCAGATTTTTTTCTATTTTTCTCATCCTGTAAAACTACAGGATTACTTTACATAATTAAAAAAAAGTTAATTAGAATGCAGAAAATTATCAAATTTTGATCAGAGATCAATTTTAAATACAAAATATATCAAAAACACTATTAATAAACAGTAAGCATAAATTGATTGATTCGTTTAATGGCAATACTAATGGATCAATTGATAATTTCGGACAAAGTTTGACAGAAAATTCAGGATGAGTTAAATCCAAACTTGATAATAAATTCCGGATAATTCAAATAACAATTCTGATAAATTTGGAGTATAACTTATTTATCAAATATTACATCTATTAACTGAAATATAAAACAACGAATTCAAAAAACAAAAATTCTTCATTAAAAGAAATATTTGAACAAAAAAAATTTATTTTTATCAAAATTTCGACATCTTTCGCTCCTAAATAATTTCCTGTCGAAAATTTCAATAGAAATTTTTTCAAAGCAATTCCAAATTCTTTTTTGCAGTCTGTTTTTCTTAAAAGAAGCCATTCACGCCAGATGTTTATCCGACGAAGCTAAGACGATAATTCAATAGCGCATGATTGACAGCGGCGATATGTGAACGAATCAGTGATCGAAAGAAAATCACCTGTCTTCTCAATTTCGTTGTAAAATACATGAAGAAAAAAATTTACAAAAAATTTCAAAAACTAAAAAAGTAGAACAAAATAAAAAATGCTTCATCAATCGAACTTTACGTACGCAACAAAACGTACATTTCGAAATTTACGTACGCAGCAAAACGTACGTTTCGAACTTTAGGTACTCAAGAAAACGTACGTTTCGAATTTATTTACGTACGCAACTTAATAACTTAAAACGTTATATTTAATACTTAATACGTTACACTCAACTTAATAACTTAATAACTTAACAAATAGGTTGATTACGTTGAAGTATTTGAAATTATAAAGTATTGGAAAAAATATTTCAGAAGCAAAAGAAAGAAACCAAAATGAAATTATCTTTCGCTAAGATATATTTTTCAGTTTTATAAAAATATTTGGAAAGATTTAGAAAAAAATTGAAAGATTTTAATTTATCTAATTAATCTAAAAAAAATGATAATAATTTGTTTTTGTAATTAACCAAAAATTTCTTTTTGTTCTTCTTCAAGTGATTCGAAATTCTTTTCAAATTTAAATTTGATAACAAATGAGAAAGATTGAAAACGACAAATTGAAAATACGATTGAATTTTCCAATTAAATGAATCGTTTCTTCGTCACCTTTTCATCGATCCCCCTTTTTACAATCTTTCACAACTCTTTCCTCTTCTATCAATTTTAACTATCATTCAAAATTTTAAATGTAAAATTTTATTAAATGAATCGTTTCATCGTCATCTTAAATCATGAAATGAATTGGTTGCATACATAAATTCATAAATCATTTTGCAGAAATAATTTTAACGAGGAAGTAAAATTTTCAAATTTCCTAATTCATCGATCATTTAATAAAAAGCGCAGAATTAAATTTATTAAAAGTATTCAATTTTTAACAGTTACTCTCTACCTGAATAAATGATTTTAGGAGAACAATAATACTAAATATCAAACTATAACGTATATTTTAAATTCTATTTTATTAATTCTCCAAGAAATTCTTTGCTTAATGATCGGCTAATTTTCTTATTGACTGTCAAATATTATTATTGTTATGTGTTAAAAGAAAATAAGCTTTTAAAAGATAATAATATGATATTGTATTAGCAAGGCATTGGTTAGAAACCTAAAATCAATCTATTAGGCCTATATCTTTTCAATGAGTCTATTATTAAGGCGTTTATTATTTTTCAACGTTTTTTTTCTTATAATATAATGAATTTAATATTATTGTTTTTTAGTATATCGGCTGTTACCTGTATTTTTAATACTTACTTTTCTATTATTTTACCTTTGGTACAATAAATTTGCAATATTTCTTTTTCATATAAAAACAAGAAATAAAAATTAAAACGCTAATACAAAGTTAAAAAGCAAATGATTGCTTTCATAGTCTATGTAAACAAATTAACAATTTTCTATTACAGTATAAATTTCTATTACGATATGTTACAGTATACTTGTTAAAGAGGAAAAAGAAGATGCTGGCAAAATGAAAGTTTTTAGGGAAGAAAGTACCAATAAATTTCGAAATAAAATAATTTATACTTCCAAATATTTTTTGCTGATTTTAGCTTCCTCACGTGTTTTTGTTACATCGAAAATTTGTTTAGCCCAATTTCGAATAATCAATTCTAAATCGATCATATCTTTTGCTTTCGATGTTTCGGCCATAATATTTGGATATGGTGGTGCTATTGATCGATCCAATTTACGATCATCACCTGAAACACATTAAACTTTGAATTGATATCATATATTTATAAATTTAAGCGTACTTAATTTTCGAATAAATTCAAATTATAATTAATTACTCTCATTAATAGCTTTTTTTTTGTTTTTGTTCTGAGTTATCTGAATGATTTCTAAATTAATATGAATTTCAAGCAAATATAATCATTCAATTAATTAAATTTTAAATTAATATAAATTTCAAGCAAATATAATTACACAATTAATTAAATTCTGATTAATATAAATTTCAAGCAAATATAATTATTCAATTAATTAAATTTTAGATTTATATAAATTTCAAGCATTCAATTAATTAAATACTGAAATTTTAGATATTTCAAATTAATTTTTGATTTAATTACTACTGAAAAGTTCAATGTAAGAGAACATTTCCAATCATTACTGTACTTTAAATAATCAAAAAAATTTTTGTCTACGATAATTTCATTGAAATATACGAAATTTCTTCTTTACTCCGACAGAGTTATTACCTTTCATATGTAAGCTAATGATTAATTTACAGAACTAAATTTAAATTTTTTATACTATTCATTTAACAACCAATTAATTATCCCTTTCTTAATTATTATTCATTTGATTGGTAATGGTTTGATTATTTATTATCGATTATATTTTAATTTTTTATAGTATTTGTTAAATTAATAATAGGAAGAACATGAAAAAATAACCCAAATTTTTTTGCATTTTTTAGGACTGAAAGAAAATATAATTAATACTAATTATAGTTGTCTTTAATTAATACTAATAAAATTATGAAATTGAACAAAAGAACGACTAAAATATAATAAATAATAGTTGGGAAATCCAATTATGAAGAAAATTATTTCTGCTAATGAACTGAATGAATAAAATAGAAAAGATTTGTGCAAAAATAAATAAACTCTAAAATAAACAAATAAATAAACTTCAACGAAAACTTTATAAAACTTACTTAAGCATCACAATTATAACAATACTTAAATTTGTATTTCTGATCATTGAAACCATATTGATAATAATAAAGCTCAATATTATAAATTTAAAAGATTTTTGATAGATAAAATTAAACAAATGGAAAAAATTAGAAGCGGAAAATTTGTTTGATGCATCACTTAAATTAAGATGGATTATAAAAATCAATGAGGGAAATAATTTGATGTAGTTTTCATTGATAAAAGCTGATATGATTTGAAAGTTGATAATGATAAAAGCTGATATGATATGATTTATTTTGAATAAGATATGATAAAATTTCATTTTGTTTACAAATGCAAATAAACATTACTTGATTGGGTATAATTAATTTAAGGTCTAAATTCTAAATTCACAATCTATCTACTTTCATTGTTTCTATAATTAATTTGTCATTAAGTCAAAGATAAATTCATTATTTCAATCTCTGGTAAATCCTAATCTTTGATAAACTTATTTATGCTGTTCAATAATATTTATAATACAAATATCAATATTAATTGATTAATATGCGATCAATATTGATAGAAATCGATAATTTAATTTCATTCATATTCTTTAATTCTCTTCCTTTTCTCCCACTTTTTAACCTTTTTCCGCTAGAATTTCACATTAATCAATTAATGAATTCTGTTTACCATTTTCATTTCTCATCCATTTATTATTAGTCGTCGAAAATGCAGCAATTTCTATTTCGTCGAAAATGCAGCAATTTCTATTTCGTCGAAAGTACAGCAATTTCAATTTCCCTCATTGGTTTACTTCAATGGAAGTGAACATTTCATCTTTCAAATCTATATTTTAATTTCAACACACTAACTTTTAAGCAGTTAGGGTTATATTGTTGTTTTCCCTAATTTTACACATTTCTATTACAGTAATTTTTCCCTTTTTTCTTACTAAAATTTTACTGAGCTGCAAATTTTATCCTAAATTACAAGACGAAAATTATGGGTTAGATAAACGGTTATATTTAATTACCTTTCTCTTCCAATTACTGCGAATATTCAGCTATTCGCAACTATCTAATTAACATTTTAACAAACACCCGTTGCAACTATAAGAATTATGCTGCCAGATGTTGCCAAGAGTTATTATTTCATTTAAGGCCAAGAAACGAAATAATTTAATAATTAATCAAATTCGTAATTATCAAAAATAAAAACAACGAAATAAAAATTTTACCACAAAATGAGAGCATTATCTGCAATTTGGAGCAAATAATAAAGTTTAGTGGAATACAGTAAATTTAGCAGAAAGTATTGTTGTATTATTTGCAGTAAACAGAATTAAATAGTATACAGTATACAGATAGTAATCAAATAGTAAATAATAGAATTAAATTATATTTGTTCGACGCTAAAAGATATAATTAATAATGATCGAAATTAAAACTAAACGAAATAACTTTTTAAATAAAAAGAATATTAAACAAAATACGATTACCATAAATATTACTTACTTTCACCTTTCTTCCGTACACACACACACACACACACACACACACACACACACACACACACACACACACATACACACATACACACATACCACAAACTAAACAAGATTCCCATTAAGACGATTAGATCGGAGGCTTAAAATGGGCAAAACTAACAAATGTATATGAATGTCTGGTGTGTGTGTGTGTATGTATATATGTGTAGGTATATGAATGCGTGTGTGTGTGTGTGTGTGTGTGTGTGTGCACCACCTCTAAAATTTAACTGATAATCAGAGAGAACACAGAAAACTAAACTAACAGTTATTGAATAAATTTAATGGTTGAAGAGTTGAATGAATTTGTGGTGACATTAAATTCATTCACCGGTGAAAATACAATTTGTTATGTATGAAAATTTGGGAGGAGGAGGAGGAAGAGGAGGAGAAGGAGGAGGAAGAGGAGGAGGAAGAGGAGGAGGAGGAGCACAGGAACTTTTTCCTTTGAGCATTAAAATGATGAAATAACTCCTACCTTTTCTCTTCTTCACTTTTCTTTTCAATTTATATTTCTCCGATATATTATTGATTTATATTATATGAGAGATATAATACATTAGGCATATTTATGTTTACACAGGTGCTAACGGTATGATTAATATTCCGTAAATGTAAACGATGAAATAATGTAACGATTCGTTCATTCATTCCTTCAACACTTATATATTTTGATTTTTAATGAATAATATGATCATAATATTTAACAGCTGTTTATCAGTATGTCCGATATATTATTTCAGTCTTACATTACTCTTTCACACCTTCTCTTTCTTGCTTTTTTTATTTTTAAATCTAATTTTTTCAAGGAATCTAAGATGGAATAAACTAATGTATTACTTAGTTAAAAGGACGGAATCATTGTTTAAGAAGGAATCAGTGTAATAGTTTAGAATAGAATCAAGATAATTAAGATATAATGTATGCAATTTTTTAAGACAGAATCTACGTATTTGTTTAAGACGGAATCAACGTAATTGTTTGAGACGGAATCAACGTAATTGTTTAAGACGGAATCAACGTAATTGTTTAAGACGGAATCAACGTAATTGTTTAAGACGGAATCAACGTAATTGTTTAAGACGGAATCAACGTAATTGTTTGAGACGGAATCAACGTAATTGTTTAAGACGGAATCAACGTAATTGTTTAAGACGGAATCAACGTAATTATTTAAGACGGAATCAACGTAATTGTCTAAGACTGAATCAGCGTATTATTTAGTCAAAAAAAGGGCAAAAAAAAACAAGAGGAAGTAAGAAATAAGTAAATCATTAACTGATCAACATTGAATAAATAATAAATCAATTAATCATAAGCGATAAATCAAGCAGTTATAAGTAATAAGTTAAGCAGGTAAAAATAAATTTAGCAATTGTTAGGTAATTAGCAAAGTAGTTTATAAGGCTTAAAAAGATTTGGTTAACACAAATAAAAATTGATATAATATATGAAATAGCATCATTACTTTTTCCTTTTGGTAATTATTCACATCGAACTAATTGATAATTAGTTCTTATCAATAAATTAGCCAATTGTAAAATTTAAATTTAATTTTTCATATCATATCATATTATTAACTTAACGGGATTTTTAACATTCATCAAAACATTATTATATCTGTTCATTGATTATGTTTGATAAATAATTTCATTCCTATTTTATTTTTAATTCAAATTTACAATTTATGAATTTATTAAATAATTCTCTTTTTAATCCTCTTTTTACATTTAATTTATAATTTTAATTTTTATGAGAATAATTTGCAAACTTTTGTAATCGATATATTTATTGATTAATTAACATGTAGCTTATCAGCAGCTAATTTATTATTTGTAACTCCCTAATTTGCAAACTTCCTTAATCGATACATTTATTGATTAATTAAAATACAACTTATCAACAGCTAATTTATTATTTGTAACTCCCTAATTTGCAAACTTCCTTAATCGATACATTTATTGATTAATTAAAATACAACTTATCAGCAGCTAATTTATTATTTGTAACTCCCTAATTTACAAACTCCCTTAATCGATACATTTATTGATTAATTAAAATACAACTTATCAACAGCTAATTTATTATTTGTAACTTCCTAATTTGCAAACTTTTTTAATCGATATATTTATTGATTAATTAAAATATAACTTATCAGCAGCTAATTTATTATGTATTATTTGTAACTTCCTAATTTTCAAACTTTCTTATTCGATATATTTACTGATTAATTAAAGTATAACTTATTAACAACGAATTTATTTGTAACTCCCTTATTTGCAAACTTTTTTAGTCGGTATACTTATTGATTTAAATTATAACTTATTAATAGCTAATTTATTATATGTAGCTTCCTAATTTGCAAATTTTCTTAATCGAAAGTATATTTATTGATTAATTAAAATATAATTTATTAACAATTAATTTATTATTTGTAATAAACTTCCATTCATCAATTTGAAGTATTTATAGGTGTGAATTTGAAAAGAAAATATTTGTACAACGGAAATATAAAGTTAACCAATGTTTGATATTCATTTTATACGACTAAATGGCATATTCTAATTCGTTCAACAAAAGTGAAACACTCAAATCATTTCCAACAACAATGCGATGAATCATAAATGATTTATCGATGTGAATTTGTTAAATTTTACGGAATGCCAAAAGATGAATAATTGTTGCAACACTGACATTGGGAATATTGTATATTTATTGATTTTTAATTTATAAATTAGAATTCATTAGAATTAATTAATTGTAATATTTGACTTTCCAATCTTCTTGCTAATACAAAAAGTAAAAATTTTGGATGGTAAAATTCTAATTTCCAAAAAAAAACGGAAGATTTAGTAATTAGAAAAGATTTATTAATTGGATTAATTAATTAATGAGAAATTTTAAGCAAAAAAAATAAATCAAAATGGTGCCATATTATAAATCATAAGCGAAATTAGTTAATGAGTAGTAATATCGGCATTTCTAAAAAAAAAAATGAAGAAAATTGGCTTTTGGTTATTCGTAGAAAAATTTGGTATAATTAAAAGATTAAAATGTTAGACCTAAAAAAGATGGCTTAAAGTAAATTTCGAATAATCTTTCTTTGAATAAATTTGAAATGGATCTGAAGTGATTGATTTTAAACGAACTTAATATGACCTTGGAATGATAGATTTTAAAGGGCATCTTATCAGAACTTTTTGATACAATTGATTGCATGAAATTATGTTATCAAAAAGATCTGATAGGGAGCCTTACAGTTTATTCGGATAAATAATTTAAAATTATTTCAAACCTATCATTCCAAGTTCATTTTAAGTTTGCTTAAAATCTAACACCTCAGAATATAACACTTCAATGCATTCAATCGATTTTGTATTATAAATCCAATTGATCCTGTGCAAATTAATTCTTTCAAAATTTATTGCAATTGTTTAAAATCTATTAAAAGCTGTATAAATTCCAAGAAAGAAGGTAGCTGCCAATAAAGCACTACAAATGAATTTTTGTTTTGAAATTCTGTTTCACCACCGATTACGATTTCAGGCTTGCTGACTTCATGACTTATAAATTTCTCTCATAGATACCTACCGTCTACAATGTTGTACTTCACTACGCTCCAAGGAACAATTCCACTAATATTTCTTAAAATATTTCTTTTGTTTTATGAATTCCGAAAGATAATGTAAAACTATAACTATTTATCACTTTATCATTATATGTTGAAGTTTTCCAACGATGACGAAATTAGTTAGAATTGAATTGATAAAAAGTTATAGTTTTGTAGTTTAATTAATTACTGGAATTTTATTTACTTTTTAAATGTTATCTGTTTCTTAATTTATTCTTTAAAATTTAACTTACCTTTCAATTTATTTTGCAACACTTTTTTAAAGCAATTTTTTATAATTTAAAATGAAAAAAACACCTGATATTATCCTTTGGTATATTAGTTGCAACAAGCATTCGTTTAAAGTTCGCTTATCAAAACAACAACTGTTATCAATTAACAAATGATATTGTATTTCTTTAAAACTATCATTTCATCAACAATCTTATCACAATCATTATTTTCGCTTACTTTCTTATCATTCTCAACCTTATCAGTTATATCAGAATGATTATTTTCCTAAAGTTTCACATCTTTCCTAATAATTTCTCATTTCTCTGATTTTTATAATATGAAGAAATCATAATCATCATAATCATCATTTCATAATTTCCGGATAATGCATTCCGATAAGCTGCGTATAACTAATACCATGCATTATAATAATAACTCATTATAAAATATTATAAATTTTAACTATGTGAAAATAATTTCGAAATGTGACTTAATTTTTTTCCTTTAAAGTTAATTTCTCATTTGCACTAAAATAATTTCATCCGTGAAGATGTGAATATGAAGTAAGAAGAGGAAAATAAAGATAGAATTACTTCAAAGCAAAATAGTTGATATAATAATTTAAAACTTTTACCTATTACTAAACAATTTGAAATATTAATTGTAATAATATATGACTTTTAAAGAAGAGAATTAATTAAATTGGATCAATTTCAATTCAATTTCTAAAAACAAAATATTTGATATAATTGAAATTGATATCAAAATTTTACTCAATTTTATCAGAAGTAATTTTCTTCTGCATAACACAGTAAGAATGTTTTTTTTTTTAATTAGCTTCTGATAAATTAATTATTCTAATAAGTTTCATTTCTTTTTCGTTTTATACAAATAATTTCAATTCTGCTAAGATTTCGATTTTACGACATCGATACTTTTTGTGACAACATATTGTGACATATCATTTATACTGAAATATTTTACTTGATTTTCTTAAGATATAATTATGTAAAAGTTTTTGCGATATATATAAGTGCTAAATTTTCCATACTAAAATTTAGAGACATAGTTTGATATGAAAATCTTATCCCATATGAAATATGAACTTTATCCAATATATGTAAATAAATTATTGAAAACTCATATTACCATATACTACTTTGAATTATCTTTGTAATTAATTATACTTGGTTTCGTTTACCATCAAAGTGATTTATTCACTTTCTTCATATATCACGGTAATAAGCATTCACTTACTATGTATATCACGGTAATAAGTATCACGGTTATAAGCATTTGCGATATAGCATTTTTGACGTATTTTTCTTTTCTACTTCCTTTCTATAATCATTCATTATTCTCTGTTTCTTTATGGAATTAAATTAAAAAAATGGATTGATTTATTTTAAAATCAACATTTTAAAAAGATTACAACAAATTATATATAGCATGCAATATGCAGTGTGCAAATTTCATTTCATCATTAGACTTTGAATTTTAATCTTTTAGATATGTATGTTTGCAATAAACTTTTACTTCTCACATTCGAGAATTTGTGTTGAATTATAAATAAACACAATTTATGATTGAAATATATTTCAGTAACTAAAAATCATAAAAATATTTGTTTACTTTGAATCATATGAATCACGTTATTAGTATAGATAGGTATTTATTATTATTTGATGATTCATTTTTTTTTTTCACTATACTTTATATTCATTATATACCTTCTGAAGTAACATTTCTTTTTGTAGAGTTTATTAAAAATTCAAAACTTTTCCAATAATTTGAAATTTTCATAAAATTCTCCTAATTTTCCTATTTTATATTCGAGGATAAATTATTGATATTATTGCATTTCTAAAATAGAAAACCTGTTATTGTTTCAATAATTAAATTACTTAATTTCAGGTTTTGCTTCTTTTTTGAATATTTCATTTTAACATTTCAAATTTTTAATATGTATTTGTAAATAGCAACAAAATGAAAAGAAAAACAATCAGTATGTTAAATTTCATTCAATTTCACGTGATTCATCTTGTGTGGTACTTGTATCACGATAAATACAACAACATATTATCGATCGTAACCTATACAATGTCTTCGTCATTAAATCAATGAATAATGGATTTAGGAGTGCATACAAAATTGGATTCCAAACATTATTTGCCATCGCTACCCTAAAGAAAATTTAAATGAAATAAAATTATTAATAAATAAAAACATTTCTTTTTTTGTTTTAAATTATTAAAGCATAATTATTTCATTTGATTTATCATTAATAAATAATGAAATTATTCTATTTATTATAAAATGATAACGTAACTATAGATATGATTAATGATAACGTAGCTATACACATATGATAATTATATTATTTAAGAGTTGAAAGTTTAAGAAATTCAAGAAATTATAGCATAAAGATTATTTATATCAATAATTTTTATGATTAATTGATTACTATTAAATTATTATTGTATAGTATAATTGATCACTACCTAATTATTATTGTATATTAGAATGAATGGTTAAATATTTGATAACATAAATAATATCTGTTAAATCAACTGAATCTAAATTTCCTAACAGATATCATTTAACAACAGATATCATTTGCATGTATCATTCTATTTCTGTCATTTCTATGCAGCATTTCTTTTTTCTTAATATATCATAAAAGATAAATGATAATTTCAACGTTATCAAAATATGATGAAGAAAATAATAAACACTTCTATCATTTTGTGTTTTCATATATATATATAATTATAAATAATATTAATAAATGGTATATATCATAATTTTAATATTATAATTTTTTAAAATCACATTTTAAGGTTATAAGTTATTTAAGATATAATTTTTTAATAGACTTTAACTATATATTTCATTATATCGCTTATTATATTAATTTAATTGGAGGAAAAAAATTAGGTAATAATTATATAAAAGAAATTATACACATACATACCAATGGGTAAATAAATTGATGAGATAGATATTGTTGACACCATCACTACATTCAAATAAACTTTCATCAAATTCCATTAATAATGAAACAATATTATGTGGAAGCCATGATATGGCAAATAATACAACCATACTAACGAGTAATATCGTATTACGCCTAGCATTTGTTACTAATTCATTTCGTAAACGATCCTATAAAAGTGAGAAAAGATAAAGAAACGAAACGAAACAAAGAAAAATTAATTTGAAAATAAAATTGTTAATTTTAAAATTAAGAAAAAAATTATAGGAGGAGGGAATAGCGAACATTTGATTGTTTTAAAAATTATTTGAATAATTAGTAAGGTAAGGGAAATTACTTTAATTATTCGTAAATTTTGAAAATTACTTAAATCATTAATATTTATTGAAATAATAGATTTAAGAATTAAATAATTAAATTAATAAAATTTAACGGAATCAATCTTTCCTATTTTTTAACTAACAATTTGATGATTTCATAGCTTATTATATATCATTTATCATTTTAGGTATAACGAAGAATTAAAATAAATATAGAAATAAATATATTAAGAAAATAATGAAGTTTTTGAAATGAACTTGTAAATAATTATTAAAATTAGAAACAGAATTTATTTTGAGAATAGAATGATTAATTATATCGATCTTAAATTGATTGTTTATACATACTTGATTTTCTTTGAAAGTATCAGTGCCGAAATTTCGCCTGCAACTTACATCATTGTTGGAACTTTCCGTTAGACATAACGATGCCATAACCATTGAACGTTCTTTTAAACGCCTAAAATTATACCTTTTTTTCTCATTAATATTTTAAAATAAAACTTTATATTTTTTTATGCATCTTGAATTGTTGATAAAATTATTTGCAGCAGAAATTGCAGAAATATATATCGCATAAATATCGTTTATATCGTATATTGTTTATATCGTATAAATAATTTATTTAGAAAGTATAATACAAATTATTTACAAAAAGTTCGCTTTGAAAAAATAAAATAAAATAAGTTATTTATGCGTTATAAATTTGGGTGTGTTTGAAATTTATGTGTTCGAAATTTAGGCATAAAATAGAATTTGAATCTCTTGACCTATATTGCTAATCTGGAATGTATGTCTACTTAATTGAGTATAATTTTTATCATTAACTTATCATCAACAATCAGTTAGTTATAAGTAGATGTGATTCGAAATTTAGGCATAAAATAGAACCTGAATCTTTTGGCCTACATTGCTAATCCGGAATATATGTCTAGTTAATTGAGTATAAATTTTATCACTAACTTGTCATCAACAATCAGTTATAATTTACTTATAGTTATATTAGTTATATAGTAGATGTGATTCGAAATTTAGACATAAAATAGAATCTGAATCTCTTGACCTATGTTGCCAATCCGGAATGTATGTCTAGTTGAGTATAATTTTTATCATTAACTTATCACAAGTAGATATGATAGGTTTCAAATTAAAAAAATGTCTAGTAATAAGATATGAGAGTAATTGAATATTCATAAGTAGTATAGGAATAATTTGATTAACATTATTCCGGACTAATATGCATGATAACATTTTGACTTAATTGAAATTACAAAAATATCTTACATAATCTTCCTTGACATCCTTTTTCGTAGTACAGCAAAAATATGATAATAGCAAATGAACATAATTGTTAGCGGAATTACGAATTGTACCACAAAAACAAATATCTGTAAATAAATAAACTTTTCATATTTATGCTAATTGATGTAAATTCTTTCTTCTTTGTCTTATTATTTCTCTTTCTCTCTCTCTCTCTCTCTCTCTCTTTCTCTTCTTAAAGGCTTTTTGAAATTTTAGAAATTTTTTTGAAATTTTATTCCTAAATAAATTTATCAAAATATTATATAATATACTGACGTAATTTTCTTTTATTAATTTCATCTTTTCCATTTTCTCCAATTGTTTAAAAAATTAATTAGAATTAAAAAACTAAGAAGAAATATTAATTAATAATTAGTATAATAATACTTAATTGCAACCAGCAGGAATAGTGTAACTGTTCGCTTTTCAATTCCTATTAATTTTTATATTCTTATTCAATCGCCATAAGTATAATTGTTTTAAAATATGGTCATAATATTGCATAAAATGATTGTTCATCATATAATATCTATTCATATAAATTATTAATATTAAATAATATTGGAATACAATAATTAATTAATTACTTACCGTATATATAGCTCTAAGGCGAGAATTTGGCCAATTTTCAGTACAAAATTGTCCACAAATTCCGTCAACAACAACAAGATCCATATATATTGCATATGGAAGTGTTGAAATGATTGATAATGTCCAAAGAATAATTGTTATATACTTCGAACGCTATAATTAAAAGATGAAAAATGTATAATTAATTAATTTAAATAAAAATTTAATTGAAATCAAATTAAATTATAATTAAGAAATTAATGCAACAATTTCATTGTTATAATTTATTTAAAACAAAAGCTAAAAATTTTTTTTGCTTCCTCTATTTGCTTCCATATAAAATTATCATACTATTTTATTAATTTATTGTTTTTAATATTTTAATTGTTTTTAATAAATTTTATACTAGTTTTCATTGCATCATTTCGTAAGAAAAACTATCATAATTGTTTTAAAATTTCATCTAAATTTTAGTGATATCGAAAGGTTGAAATTATCACTGGCAAATGTTAAAATTATCATTGGCTCAAATGTTGAAATTATTATTGGCCATCATCTAAATTTTGGTGATATCGAAAAGTTGAAATTATCACTGGCAAATGTTAAAATTATCATTGGCTCGAATGTTGAAATTATTATTGGCCATCATCTAAATTTTGGTGATATCGAAAAGTTGAAATTATCACTGGCAAATGTTAAAATTATCATTGGCTCAAATGTTGAAATTATTATTGGCCATCATCTAAATTTTGGTGATATCGAAAAGTTGAAATTATCACTGGCAAATGTTAAAATTATCATTGGCTCAAATGTTGAAATTATTATTGCCCATCATCTAAATTTTGGTGATATCGAAAAGTTGAAATTATCACTGGCAAATGTTAAAATTATCATTTGGCTATCTTCTAAATTTTGCTATATTGAAAAGTTAATTTAACAAATTTTTGAATGCCAATCTACAATTGATTCTTATTTAATAATCGTTGTTGTCAAATACCGTCAACAAAATTGAAAAACTCAAATTCTTTCCTTCAAAAAACAAAGAAAAAATGATAATTAATTAATTGGCTTATTGTAATAGAAGAAACAAAACGAACAGTTTTATTGATAATCCTTCTTGTTGGTAATGTCACCATAATATACCTATCAACAGAAATGGCACATAAACTAAAAGTACCAATGAATACCGCAATTCCTTGCATCCACGGAAGTCCGTGACACATTGCCGAACCAAAGTACCAATTTTTATAAACATTAGCAATTGGCGTAATTGGTAATGAAAAAATACATACAACTAAATCGGCACTAGCTAAATTCAATATGAACATATTCTGAAATGCAAAATTCGATGATAAATTGATGATAAGTGATAATTTCATAAACAAATAATTAAATCATTTCTTATCGTTATCATATACTATCACTATTTTTTTTTGCAAATATCCGAATAATTTTAATTACAAATATAAATTTTTGATATAATTCAATTGTTAAAAAATTTCTCTAATGTATACGTCGAAATTTTACTAAAACTATAGCATTGTTTGTTATCATCTATTAAACAATATAAATAACGTCAATCTAATTAATTAATGTAAATAACATTGATTAATATAAATCTATTAATCAATAAAAATAACATTGATAATTATCATTTCCATCTTATCATCTATTAAACAATATAATTAAAATAATTATCATTGCAACCTATCATCTATTAAATAATATAAATAACAACTAGCAATTATCATTTCCATGTTATCATCTACTAAATGCTTTATTAACATCTATTAAACAATATAAATAATATTGATAATTATCATTTCCATCTTATCATCTTTTAAGTAATATAACTAACACAATTATCATTGCAACCTATTATCTATTAAATAATATAAATAATAACTAACAATTATTATTTCCATGCTGTCATTTATTAACTAATATAATTATCATTTGCAACCTATCATCCATGATATAAATAACACTGATAATTATCATTTCTATCCTATCATCTATTAAACAATTATCATTTACATCTATTTCCTCATATATTAATAAATCAATTCATAAAAATTATTAAGTACAAAAGTTATTAAGTAAAAATTATTAATTATAAAAGTTATTAAGTAAAAGTTATTAATTATAAAAGTTATTAATTAAAAGTTAATTAATATAAAGAAAAAAAGTGAAAAATAAAAAAAGATAAATACTTGTACTGTTTGAAGTTTTCGATGTAATAAAGTGAGATATATTACCAAAGCATTACCGATCACACCAAGGATGAATATAAGTAAATATGCTATTGCAAATGGTATGATTGCACGAATATCCATTGATGGATCACGAAATTTATCCTAAAATAATTCATTTCAGAAATTATCATTTATTTATGCTTAATTTGTTTAAAATGCAACAAATTTGAAAAGCAAAAAATAAGTGAGAAAACAAATAAACAAAAAAAAAGGCCTTTTGTGGTAGGAAATAAACAAAATTATAATAAACCTAAGAAAATAATAATTTTACTTAACATAACAATTTACATAATTTTACTTTGCTATCTTTTAATAGTAGAATATATTATTACTATTGTTATTATCATTATTATTATCACATTAATGTTATCGCTATTATTATCATTTATTACTCATTATTATTACTGTTGTATCATCACTGTTACAGTTTTTTTTAAATACCATCTCTAGGATTTCTTAACTGATTAATATGATTTCATGTTCGTATCATTATTATTGCTATTTTTTTATTATCACTATTATTATCACATTAATTTACTATCACTATTATTATAACATTACACAATTATTTATTTTCCAACCTTAATATTTCAGGAATTTCTTAATTGATTAATATGATTTCATGTTCTCATCATTATTATTACTATTTTTTATTATCACTATTATTGTTAATTTATTATCACTATTATTATTATCACATTAATTTACTATCACTATCATTATCATTATCACATTACACAATTATTTATTCTCCAACCTTAATAATTCTAAAATTTCTTGACTGATTAACTTCAACGTCTGAATCTAAAAATTTCATCTTCATTTCAAGTATATTATTAAATATTTCATTTTATTACAGTAATAATTTTTGCTGCTTAATTGAAAAAGGTAATTAATTAAGGTAACTTACAATCCTTTCATTTACAATTTTAAATTTTAAAATTAAAAAAAGCGAAAAGATATTTCTGACATTTTGAATTTATAGAGAAAAATGCTTTCAAAAGTAATAAATATCTCTATCTTTTTTGTTGTAATTTTCGAATTTTATTCATTTTTCTGATAGAAATACGTCATTTTGCTTAGTTTTTCGTTGGATAAAAATTGAAATTTCCCACATTTCACTTCTCATTAATTCCTTTTTTAAGACAAAAAGTATAATTAAAAATTTTACTTTTGAAAATTTTCCGTTTTATATTTCAGTAAACATTTCGGATCGAATAAAAGGAACGATGAATAATTATTATTTCTAATAAATTAAAATAAATAAGATGTGATAAGAAATGTTAATTAATTTTCAACTACTGTTTAATTCTTATTATCAGTATATTAAAGTTATCAATGATAAGAGAAAGTTTTTTTTTTCTTTAAAAATCATCAATTTCCTTTTTAGGACAAAGGCATAATTCTTTTCTGTTTTATATTTCAGTAAATATTTCGGATCAAATAAAAGAAACGATGAATAGTTATTATTTCTAATAAATTAAAATGAATAAATTATAATAAGAAATGATAATTAATTTTCAGCTATTGTTTAATTCTTATTATCAGTATATGATATTATCAATGATAAGAGAAAGTTTTTTTCTGAAAAAGAAAGAAAGCAAAAAGCTAACATAAAAAAAAAGAAAGGAATTTTAAAAAGCTAATAAAAAGACTAATTAGTTTAAATTACATTTCAGAAAAGGAATTGCTAAGCCTTATCTATCAAAAATTATTAACTATAATTTGAAGTAAATTAAAAACGAAAAGTAATAATTAAGGGTGGCAAGAAGTAAAACAAAACAGTAAAAGTATTTTATTAAAAATTAAATGAAAAAAAATAAGCAAACATAAAAATGATAAAATGATAAGCAAACATAAAATGAATTGATAATAATAATAATAATAATAACCGTATAAACGATGCATTTCATGATGTTCAAATCAGCATTATCAAATGTCACTGAATTTGTTAGCATGAATGAATATGATGATCGTATCAGTTGCTATCAACAATAAATTGTTATCAGAGGGAATATCCTAGAAATTTGATATCACTTTATCAAATTACATCAAATCTATAATATTTCTTTCTTTTACATTTTAATTACCAATTAAATAATATTTCTTTTTATAAATATAATAGCAACAAAAACTTACCACACTTTCATATCATTGAAAAAAATTGGGAATGTAATGAAACGAAAAGATAAAAGAGGGAAAAATTTCTTCTTCAAATATATATTAACTTTTAATTGGATGATGATAAATTGATAAATTGATAAATTGAGTGATAAAACTAAAGCTATGAGAATTTTTGGAATAATAAAAGATAGAATAATTTAATTAAGAAATTAAAATTAAAAATAGTAGTAATAATTAAAGAATTTTAATCGCCAAAATTATTATTAGCCAAAATATTACAAATTATATTTTCGAATAAAATTTTAATGAAAGATAAAATAATGATAACGATAAAATTATGAGAATTTATGGAATAATAAAAGATAAAATAATTTAATTGAAAAATTAAAATTAAAAATAATAGTAATAATTAAAAAATTTTAATTACCAAAATTATTATAAACCAAAATATTACAAATTACATTTTCGAATAAAATTTTCATAATAAAAAATATCAATTTCATTATTTTGTGCCATTTTTCTTTGTTTTCAAATTTTAATCATTTAATTAATGAATTTCAAATTTCAAAATTTTATCACTAAAAGTGATAATTAAATGATATAATTTCACATTGCAAAAATAATAATAAATTCAGAAATAATAATAAATTTTTTGATAATTAATTAAGGTTAGCTAATGAAAAGAAAGAAACGAAGAAAATACTTACGCTTCAAAACTATGCAATTATTATTCCGAAATGTTTTATTTTCATCCGATCATTGTTAGAAACATTAAAATTTTTGCAATCATTTGATTCGTAACATTTTGTTGCTTTATATTATTGTTTAAATATTAATTAGTAATAATGAGTGATATCTTTTTTTTTTTCCTCCCTCCCCTATAATACTAATTTAACATTCATCGAAGTTATTTCATTCAATAAATTAATTGTTTTGGAAAAAAACAACAACAAAAATATTAAGGTGAAAAATTTTTCAATTAGATAAAACACGAGAAATAACAAGTTGAAATTATTTAGGAAAATAATTGACAAATTGCTAATTGTCAAGGTAAAATAAAATTGTTTACATATTATATCAATCATAAATAGTAAATGAAGTTGGATCCAAATGAGAAATTGACGATAGTTTGCATTTTTACTGTTTTTTCGAAAATCTGTCTTACCGCAATCTCATCATCAAGACAGTGACGAATAACAAGGGCAGCAAGAATAGCTGATGATGGTACTGCGGAACCGGACACATTTATCAATTTGTAAATGATCGGTGAGAAGTAAAATGGTTGTAAACTGTCAACAAAAACGAAACGAACAATATAGCAAACAACAATATGATGCCGAAATAATTTTTGTTGAAAATATTCGAAATTATGAATTAATGAGGAAAATAAAATTTTTTTTGGGATAAATATTTTCCATCGTATCCTTCATCATTCGTAACGAATAATAAATAATCCATTTGAACGAATTACTTTTTTGAAAAAATTTGAAAAATGAAATGAAAGTAAGGAAATGTAATCAATTTCATTTATATCAATAATAATTTTTATATTCCCACAAATTTTTCTTTGGATGATAAACATTTTAAACAATAATTAATTAAGAAATATAATTATTTAGAAATTTTTCATCGTAATTAATTAAGTAATGATTGATTAAAATTAATTTTTATATTTTCACAAATTTTTCTTTGGATAATAAACATTTGAAATAATAATTAATTAAAATTATAATTGTAAATTTTTCATCGTAATAATAAAATAATGATTAATTAAAAATTTTTTTTTTCGCATTCTTCCAAATTTATATAACATCCGAAAATGCTGAAAATTAATTAAATTGGAATGGATTATTAATTTTGAAATTAATTCAAAATTAAAATTAAAATTAAATCAAATTAATTGATTAAAATTAAATTAGAATTAATTTTGAAATTAAAATTAGATCAAAAATTTTGAATTCAACTTTTTATTAATTATTCATTTAAATTATTTTGAAGAATCAAAAAACGACGAAAAATTATATTATAGTATGATTAACGATTACTACGATTTAGTTGTGAAGAATTTACTTTGTTTTTATCGATAAATGTTGTTGCAAAGATTAAATTCAGGTTTTACTGAAATATATAGCAATCAGTAGTAGGAAGCTATTATCAACATTTCATCATTTTCATGTTTACTTCACTCAATTCTTAGTTAAAACTATTTGCGACAGTCAAAAAAGTTGTGACAGCTGATTGAATTACTTAGAGAGGAAGTGGTAAGTTGTCAGATAAAATTTTAGAAAAACCCAAAATCTACTATATATATATATATATATATATTTATTATCTAATAAATAAAAATAATTCACATAATTTTAGACTGATATTAAAACTGAAAAGATGATAATTTTTGATTATGATTTAGCGATATGATATGATAAAGTTTTACTGATAATACTATTATATATATTTAAAATATATTTAAATTAACTATATATTATATAGATCTATAAAATAAGTTTAAATAATGTGTAAAATATGCTTAAATTTTGGAGAGAAACAAAGAAAGAAAGGAAAATGTTTATAAAAAGATTTGATATCAAAAGTTTTCAAACTTCCACCATTTATGCAACTTAGAAGTTTATTTAAATAAATTTAAACAGAGAAAAAGAAAAGAAGGAAAGAAATGATTTGTTATCAAAAATTGATAAAAATTAAGTTGAAGAAAAAAAAATGATCAACTGATATAATTTATGATAAAGTTGTGCATAAACATGAAAATGAATAGAAGGTAGTTTGAATGGGAACATTTTTGAAATATATATATATAAAGAGAGAGAGAGAGAGAGAGAGAGAGAGAGAGAGATGGGAAAGATGTTGATGAAAGGAAAATAAATTAAAAGAGGTATTGTTTACAACAATGCCATAAGCTATTAGTATTAGGCTATTTCTCTCTTTCTGTTTTAAATATT